CACACAGACTGTGAGACCTATTGATCGCTAAGAACCAGGTTGAGGCGGCTTTTCGGATGGGGGAACGATAATGTGGTAACCATGTGAGCAACATCGGTTGGCTCAATCTCATTGGTTGGCTTGCTGACTCATTCCTACCTTACTATTGGTCGTGTGTCTGCCGCTTGAGTCTCCGTTTAACAAGGGATTGACTAAGTTGTACTTGGTTAATTTTGCGAGATACATTTTTTTTACCTTTCCTACGGCTTTCTTGACACAACACTAATGATACCAAAGTGGGGCGAATGTCTGCCGTACACCCGCGCTCGGCCCGTGATTTGAGAGTAGATGGCTCGAAGTAAGGCGACATACTTCTCGGGCACTCCTCTTCTCAGTAGACAACTCCAGACAGCAGCTCTGTGGACTGAGTCAAACGCGGCTCGTATGTCTAAGAAGACAACGATTGTTGGCTAGCCAAATTTTTGACGATGCCCGGGTATTTGGCGGAGTGTAAAGATGTGATCGATGTAACTCCGACCTGAGCGGAACCCAGGTTGCTCTTCACGTATGCTCTGTTCGCGTACCAAGCTGAGCCTCCTTAGAACCAGAACCGCGAGCACCTTCGAAGCAACACAGATGAGACTAATCCTTCTGTGGTTGGCGCAGTCAGTCCGGGTACCCTTTTTGAAGACGGGCACGATATCCGCTAGGCTCCAATCAGATGGGATAACTTCAGTGGCCCAGATCTCTTGGAGGAGAGAAGTTAACTCCTGAACAAGTGATGGGCCACCATCTTTGAAAAGAACCGGAAGGAGTTCATCTGGGCCAGGGGCTGTGTAGCGCTTTAAGAGGTGAAGCTCGTGGGCAACCCCAGCCTCGGATGGTGGTGAAGCGTCTACACACCAGGGAGGGCTCTGGGCTCCAGAATGGGAACTCATTGGTGCTGCTGGCCAATTAAACTGCTGCTCAAAGTGTTCGGCCCAACGCTCGAGTAGGCGTTTTTGACAGTGGATTGGCTCGCCATTGGTTTCACCTAAAACATCACTTACAGTCGACGTTTTACCGCCAGTAGATCGTATCAGGAGGAAGAGCTTACGGAAATTCCCCGAGGTGTCCGCTTGCTCCATCTCAATGACCCGCTGCATCCACCAGGTCTCGCGATATTCCCGGAGTTGTTTGAGTTCAGCGTTAGCAGTCTTGCGTAGTGAATGGTATTTAACGCTAGTAGGAATTGCTCGACGGGCTTTGAGAAGTTGGAGGGATCGTGCAGAGACCCAGCGGTTGACAGGACTACTGGTAAAATCACAGACCAGGGTTGAAGAATTGTACATGGCGCCGCGGATGTGTGTCTAGTGTGTTTCAATGTCCGTGCATGGGGCAGTCTTCAGCCGTGAGGTCAAGGCATACTGATATGCGTGGAGAACGTTCGGGACAAAAAGGTTAGCTATGTCAAGCCGTTTCTGGCGACGCTGCTAAGAGCTACCGAAAAGTAGTGCAACCTTGGCACAAACCAGCGCGTGATCCGAAGTGAGATAAGTACTCCAGATTGATTTGCAATCCTGTATGCTACCCCGCCAGCGATAGCTAATGGCAATGTGGTCAATCTGTGTACACGGCTGGCCAGGTGATGGGGGTCTCCAGGGGGCTCGTTGGCGCCAGGATCCCCGAAAGCTAGTGCTTGAAAGAAAGAGGCCGTGATCGGCGCAAAGCTGAAGTAGCCGATCGCCGTTGTCAGTTCTGCGAGTGCCATGGCCTTGTTGACCACCGAGTTCACGTTCGTCAACTCCAAGTCTACCGACCTGCGCGTTCAAGTCCCCGGCGAGCACCACGATGTCAGTGCGGCGCTTTTTACGGAGAAGATCGGCCAATTGACCATAGAACTAATCTTTAACTGATACCGGGCTGAAGTCTATGGGAGCGTACGCTGCGACAATGGATAGACAGCGTATGCTGGTTTTGCCCCGCGAATGTCGCACTGAAGTTTCAAGTCGGATCGCGCATAGTCGACTGTTAACAGGGATCCAGTCTAGTAGCACAGCCTCCGCATGTGCGCTCAACGCAATCCCAACGCCAGCATAACCAGCGGTTTCGGCGGTTGAGCCTCCAGACAGGCGCAAAGTGAAAATGCCAGTGGAATTCGCAGACGGTGAAACTAGTTGTAACGTCATGCTAGAGTCTTGTAAACGGGTCTAGCTGAGACAGCAGACATCAATGCCCGTAGTTTCTAGAATGCGAGCAAGGGCTGGTTGTGATCCAATCTGCATCAGCATCCGAAGATTGGAGGTTGCCAGCTAGAATTGGGAACGTGACACTAGAAATGGCTTGTCAACACGACTTGGCGCATCTTCGGACTTAGGCTCCTGATCCGCCTAGTGAGAACGTTCGCCCAAGGCGGCACGATGTCGTGAACGCGAAAACGGAGGAGGAAGACCAAGAATGGGGGAGTTGAATAAATGTGGAACAAAGTGACTAAACGTTGGTGCGGTAAAAGGTGGTTTGGCAAGTTCAGCCGAGAGCACCTCGGCCGATGAGAGCACTTAGAGAGAGAGCGCGAGCGAAGAACGGTTAAGACATGGGTCCAAAGGTTGTGTGGGCATAGTACTTCCCGGTTGCCCAGGCCGGGGAAGAAGGTTGACTTAGGGGACCCCACCCGGAGCCTTGGGTCGTAAAGACCTATCTCGCAAGGCAGCAGGGCGATTGACGTATATCGTGACCGTTGGGAGTCGGCTCTCTAAGTGAACGACTTTCGAGTAGTGGCAAACTATCCAGGGCGCACAAAGAGCCCCAGTGAAGCAGCAAGGACTACGGAGCTCGCCGCGAAGGCCGTTGACAGCCAGGTGACTCATACACCTTCACAGAAGCCGGTGGCCATCGACGTTGTTCATCCGCCATCCGTTAAGTACTCACTTCTGTGACCAGAAGTGAGTGGTCATTGACCTTATAGCAAGCAATCGAATGAACTTGGAGCACGACTTACGATGTGCATTAGCCGAAACCGCACCAAATATGCCAGAATCTGTCTATCCATCACCTCATGGTATAATGAAAAATTGCTCAAAAATGGAGTTTTTTATTTGTGTGATCGAAAGTAATTACATATGGTATTCATTTTCCGTACTTTAAGGGAAAAGTATAGTAGTGATTAGTTAATTGGCTCTTGAAAGTTTGGGGGGGAGAGATAACTGCTTATAGTGAACCCGCTTTAGGGGTCATCATCATCATCATTATACACATCAGCCAGAGGTGGGAAAACACCTCCGCTATTGTGCCGCACGATTTAGGGGGGGGGGGGTAACGGTCTCAAAAACATTGGGAACAACTGTTTTAGGCAATGCAAGCTCAGATAGCCATGGAGGCAAGGACAAGTTGTGATATTTTTAGTTTATCGAACTAACACGGTGGAGATAAGGAATGTTCGAAAATAGGAGAAGTCACAGAATGATGTGCAAAATGCAAATGCAACAGAACGTGGAATGCGGTTAAGCATTGGAATTGAAAAAAGAGCAGTGTGAGCATAAGCTGATAGTCTTTGAAATGTCACTTGAGACGCTCAAGCCGACCACTAGAACTCACCTGCGCCTCCATATACTCATTGGCTTTTGTCGAGAGCATCAGAAGGGGCGGATCGGTAACGTTGTTCTTATAATCTTATCAGCAAAAACACGTGGTTATTTAGTTAAAACTATTGGGTAGTAAGTAAATGAATGTTTAAAACAATCCACACACAGGCTCAACCCGTATTATCACAACCGAATCCACTGAGTCACACCTATTATATTGGTACTAAAGTCGCCAAGGGGGGGCGGATGTGCCAGCTACTTTCGTGGCGCGCGTCACAAACGATGTTTGGCTTATAGGCCACGTAGTCAGCTGCAACCGACTGGCCATCGGATGAATCGCGAGATTGTGAACGCGGTTGAATACCCCTGAAGTTTAAACAATTGCTCCGCCTGGTTCATACAAGCGGTGAGGCTAAGAGCTCACAAAATCTATGGAGTTGAGGAGGTCACATGCAACGTGCACTGCATCATTCGGCACACCAAGTGGGTCGATGAGTTTTTGGGATTACGAGAACAAATTCAGTCAGAAAAGTAAGAAAGCACCAAGTAGTAGTCAGTTTTCCAAAAGCAGGTCCTCACATCCAACTGGAGTAAGTAATAGTGCTCCCGGTCCACGAACAAGGCGCTTACAATGTGCCCATTGTCAGTAGTTGGCGCACTTTCAATAGCACATAAAATTCTGGCTTGTACAAATCACTGACGGAAGGATCCAAGAGATATTCAGATAGTAACATTGCCATCTGGTTACTCGTTACCGACGAGCAATAATGAATATGCAGTTCACGAACAAACAGTACAGTGTTAGATTTCATAGTGAAATCTTCAATTTGAAACGATCTTTTCAGCGAAGGAGCGTTGCGGAAACAAGAGTACAGCTTGAAAACATATCTGAGCTGCACGGTAGCGTATTAACAGCCTTAAAGATCCCATCGTACTAGAGTGAAGCGAAACCGCGGAACTTCCCTATCCGAATTCGTCTTTACTATATCGGCCAGCAACACCAGCGAACAAGAAGTCTATCGATTACACCACTCTATTCGAAGTCAACTTACCGGTGATGCGAGAAACTCAGGCTCGTTTGGCTACTGGGGGATCCCAAGGTAACTTAGGCGGCAACAAACAGATCGAAAATTGCGGATTTATGGAAGGTGGCAATTGGTGACGTGCACGAAGCATCCGCTGGTGTTTGACGGATATCACAGCGCCGGTTGCCTTCCACGGTCCAGCATCGAGAGCACGCGTGATGTAAAAACAGTTCGGGGATAGGGTGAACGAACGAGTGGGGAGCAAATGACGCACAGAAAGGAAAGTTTAGCAAATTCTTCTATTCAATGAAACTAGTACACACACGATAGAAATGAGGGAGGAGCCGCCATACGGTGGACACATATAAAGATGAGGTCTAGGCAGGAAAGAGTTGTTGTTGCAGTCCAAAACGAGTGCATTTGTTGGTCGATAGAGACAAGTGGGAAATACGGATATGAAAAATGGCCCGGCGGTGCGCGAAACTCACTGACCGCAATTATGATAAGAAGTCGGTTAGTATATCACAGATATGTCTGCAATAACGATGCGACACAAACGCGAGTAGAATAAAAGCAAACTTCATCCGTAGTTCTCGGATGGAACATGTGACATCAGATCAGCGACCAAATGTGGGGATTGCAGCAATCGGAGACATACTGACTAATCCACTTTGACAACTCCGTAAATTTTGCGCACGAACCAAAGGCAAGCAAAGAACCCAATGGTCCCTGTAACAAAAAGTATGCAGAGGTAAGAAGCTGTCGAAAAACCCGTATGTGTGAATAACGGAAAAGTAACACAATTACACGAATGATGGTGAATAGGAACGATAATGTCGGCGGCAATTGTTGCTTTGTGTAGTTAGGGCACAAGGACAAACTTTTCGAAATAATCGACCGAGCTCCGTGCAATTGTCATTATGCTTCTCACAGTAAAGTTCCTGAGATAAATGTTGTGATTCAGGCTGCTCTAGCAACAAAAGCGATGGATAACAATGGAACTATACGAAACCGTTTCGCTCACGGTGAAGCCGCCTTACTAGATAGTAGATGTTAAAAAGCGTGCTATGAGCGACCACATTGGACAGATGTCCAGAGCTCTAGGTAGTGTATGCAGACGTCGACACGAGTTGGTCAAAATATGTCAGTAGTCACGGATCCCAGGGCTAACGGTGATGCTGAATGGCTAGATACATGTCGGCACTGCCGACGACTCGGCCTAACTGTGCCACTCCTTGCACTAATCAATGCGCCTGTCGGGAACAAGTCTTCGAGCAAATGGTTGTGTAACTCGTTTGGTCAATCGGTGCAGACCCACATTCTCTTACCTTCCTTCTCGTTGTCGATAGACTCAGTGGAGAGCACAGACCATGCTGACCGGTTTAAACGCCAACTCAATCTAGCTGTTGATGATGCAACGATGTTGCGAACAACCACAAGCCGAGTTGGGAAATATGGGTTGCATGAGAAGTGGCACTGTGTGAACAAGTTCCCTAAACACTGGCATACATGAATTCCACAATGATCTTCAAGATGAAACAAAAGGGGTATTAGTCATGAGAACAGAACAAATGAAGGGTACCATTGTCATTAGCAATGTGATGGGGTTGCAAAAGTTCGAGAAAGACGAAAACGGAAAGGAATAAGAGAATACCGCTCAGACCAGAAAGTAGGCAAAACAACCAGGGAAGGTATTTTGAATCTCCGGAAACAATAAGGTGACTTGAAAGTTAGCAAATGTGTTAAGTTGTTCGCACAGATGTGTTTTTAGGCCAGAGAAGTTGCAATTTTTCAGGAAGTTGCATTATGACAAACATTAAAATGAAACGTCTGCAACTAAAACATTCGGAGGACAATCAAACACCCTTATTTGCACCCTGGGCTACAAGTAGGTTCAATTATTGATTAAAAAAAAGCAGTGTTCGAGGTTGACATCAGCCTGATGTATCAGAAAATGCCAGCCGGAATCTGGCTTAGAGAAAAAGCTGACCAAATCATTGGGAAAAATAAATATGCTGGGGATCACTAAATGAAAGCAACGGTGCACGAATTCGTGCTACAACCAGAATGCATTCGGGTGGCGACAGCATGTCCCGCCTAGCTTCGGTTCGTCAGTCTAAATCCATTGTTGTACCAAAAAGCCTGCACAGACACTTATTCGTAGCTTGAAAAATACCACTGACTTGGGTCACAATGAAGCAAGGACAAAACAGATAACATAAATCATCGCATTCCTAAATAGTCTATGAGAAGCGAGACAAAACTCACCAGTGAGGAGGAAATTCAACCAAACGATAGCACACATGTAACCGAAGTAAATGAACCCGGAAATAGCGTCCCTGAAGTCCAATCGGGAGACGAAGTAATGTATGGAATAGATGAACAGGTAGAACGATGTCCCGGATCCGCAATGAAACGCTCTCCACCACCAACGGTAGTCCTGCAAAGGAATGAGTGACGATGATCAGTCCCCGGTGTAGCAAAGGTTTTGTGAGGATAGCAAACAGAAAATAGCTCGATGGGATGGCCAGGATCATCGGTAGTGTGATCTAACCCATGAGAATAGCTCGGGAGCAAACGTCGGAGAATAATGTGATAGAACGAAATACGAAGTGCAACGCAGCGCAGACGCTGAATCACGTATTAAAGAATCCATAAGATCAGACGCTGAAGGAAACATAAACGAATTCACATGCGTAGTAGGACTGACTGACAGTACACCTGGCACCCACTGCCCGCTGAACAAATCTGGATTTACCAAACTAAAACGACAAAACACTAAAGCCGGCATATTTCTCTCCCGGAGTGTCGGTCGCTGAGGAAAGCACACCAATACATCGGTTCCGCTTGGTTGCGTGGACTGTCAGATGTGAGGTAGCACAGAGTCTGAGAGGCCCCGAAGGAATAATGGACGCGGAAATAACAGAAAAATCGTCTAACCAATTCACGCTGACAGTTTCGGGAAGTCACAGACTAATGGGGGAAAACATCAGTGTCCTTAGTTACAACAAAACTTGATAGGCAGAACAATTTCAGGAATAGCTCTGTTAACATGGCCAGGGAACTAACTCAAAGACTTCATTTGAACCTGAGGTCCGAGACGTAACCATATTGCACATAGGGGTTACATGTTGCTATACCGGATTCTCAGGTGTTCTCGTCATAACCAAGGATAGTGAGGTCTTCTGTAAGGAATCAAACAACCTACGCGAACGCGGTAGGAAACTGTTCTAGCTAATCGAGATGACTCGACTATAGTGACAGCGCAAAAAACACTAAAGTACTGATGAAGCGAATGACCTCCACTGTCATCCGCCGTCCTAAAATTAATCAGGAATACAACGTGCTAGCAGAGCTGGCATCGTTTCGACAGGGACGGGCTGTATGCATGTAACTGTCACCTGGCGATGGGAGTTATGCAACTAGAATATATATTGTAGGTCGGCTTGGACTGTGTTCCTCTACTTAACGAGTGTGGTAGATGGAGTCCGTCGTTCTGCTATGTCCGATATGCTAGGTGAGTGAGGTATTTCCAGGACAAATGAGAATATTTTACGCGCCTTATGCTCAAGTATATAAGGTCGCATCAGAGTAGACGACTAATTGTCGGGAGCCTTTTCAATGATAGGTGTCGCTCACCGAGATTGTCACGCTTCCAAACCTATATACATTCCAGCGTTCCACTATGAAGTCGCAACATGCTGAGATTGAGGTGTGTGCACCAGTATCCCGATGTTCTATGGTTACGATGTGTTACAGTCAAGTCCGAACAAAATCACGAGGTAGTTCGAACCGGTGTGGGGTTTCAGGACTGCCAACCTTGTGACAGCTCTTGAGCTCTAATGATGGAGAGCTGGAGGTGATGGAGTTATCAAAGACGAAAGTAACCCTCCTGTATGGTAATCAGAATTGGTCACGTATGTCTGAGAATTTCAACTGCCCTCAGGTTGTTGATCATTGTCGCCAACGGAGCAGTGTCAATATCTAGCGGCCGGAACATAGGAGTGCCAGGCGACAATGCTTAGTCCGGTTCCGATCATCTCAACTAATCGGAGTGAATAAGCAGTGTCGGATAGTGAATGTGCCACTGGTCAATTGCTAACATCTCAATGGACTACCCACACTCAGGGCGTATGTGACTCTCAGCTGTTTGTGTGGAATAACGACGATTGTGACGCAGAGCAGTGGAAATCACCAAGTGCCTTGCTTACCTATGTCATCTTAGCTTCTCATGATAGCAAGCGGTCTGCAATTGCCACGAGCATATGTGTATTTGTCACAAATATTTGTCTAGTGCTGTAGGTCCCACCTTAAACCTTCCCTAACTCTCATACAGCGTGTTAGTGGGGAATTCTTTAAGAGTTTTGATTGTGTGATAACAATGCTTCGCTGTGTGTGATATGCCAGTTACGCTATTGCAGTGCAAGTAACTTATCATGAGCATGAGCAACAAAGCTCTTTAACAACCGAATCAAGCGTTCTCACCTCTGAACAAAGTTGAAAGTAGCACAGCAACATGGCCGTCTCCGAGCACGTGATCACCAGCATGAGGAACACGATAAACAAAAGTCCAAACATGAAGTAGAACTGAGAACCCCATATACTGTTGAAGATGAAGAACAATTGGATGAATATGCAGCTGAAGGGCAGCAAACCACCGAGGAAAAAGGTGACAATGGGGCGACCGTAAGCCGATAAATAGGGAATCTGTCGTGGAATCTGATTAGTCCGGACGGGGGTTTCGATGGCCTATGGAAATGAACGTGTGAAAAGAAGACATCAGTGAATAGAAAAAGAAAACAAAGAAGCGCTAAAAATGGCAACCATAGAGACGTGCACACTAGCAACCAGCTAATTTGCTCAGACAAAACACGATGGGATGAACTCCGAAATCATCAATGACAACTAATACAAGACCTAAAAGGTCCCCACAAATTGCCAAAAAGGTATTAATCAGACGTACCATCTTTAATGGGAGAAACTAATGATTTGACGGAATTAAGCTGTAACACAAACACCCTTTACGTTCAATTATCTGGTATTGTGAGGGTCTAGGGCAAGTTTCCCTCGCCCTTTGTTGTCAACAGCGGTGTGAGACAGAGTTGCCCTATGTCCTCATTCCCCTTCCACTTCGCAACCGAGGATGTTCTGTCGAGAGGTCTAGAAAGTCTAGAGCTACTACCGGCTGAGCACGTGACCGACTTAGAGTATGCCGATGATTTCGCCCTACTCGGTGACAACCCTCACAGTATGCAACTCGTTCTGCGCCGTTTAGCGGTTGAAGCGTAAGATATTGCTTCAAGATTGATCCACACTCGCTCCAGTGCTCACACTTGTAGGTCCACAACTTGAACAAGTAGATAGTTTTGCATAGCTTTGGAACTGTGTTTATGCTGGTGGCACTACCAACAAGGGAGATTCTCTTTACACCACCAAAGCCCGATCATCACTTGTCAAGCTAAGGCACTTGTGGAATCGTCATGGCGTCTGCAGCTCGAAAGAAGTCAGTGTTTAGTGTCTCCATTCGTTCAGTGCTGCTGTATGCGAGCGAGTACTGGCCAATTCGCATAGAGGATATACGCCGTCTTTCCGGCTTCAACAACGGTATTTTGACGAGGATCGCTAGAGTGTGTTGGAAAAACCGAGTTAGCAGTGATGACGTTCGCCACCACGTCTTGGGGAATACGAGTATCCCCTAAAACAAGCTGGTTTAGCTGCGTCCATTGAGATGGTCCGGTCCCATGTACGCATAACGCCTGAGCGTTCGTCGCGCCGCGCTCTATTCACTCGTCCAAGACCAAGATGGAGGCGACCGTGTGTTGGTCAGCCTTCCACCTAGTGACGGCACATGTAATCGCTGACGTTACGCCCAGCCGCCTTTGGATCCGCACCTGTTCCTGGATGGAAACCAAAGGATGAACAGTGCCAATGGTTTAATGCACTCGAAGACATAGAGGTAAATCAATTCTGTGGGAGAATTGTGTACAGAATTGCACTGATTTGGATGCTTAACGCCTCAAACAACAAAAAAGACAAACAAAACCTGTGTGTAAAAAGCGAACAAAGAGATTAAATATTAATGTAGATCTAATTGTACTTTCCTGTGATTTCCATAGTTTTTTGATGGCTATATGTCCACAACAAAGGCTGCTATATATATATATATATATATATATATATATATATATATATATATATATATATATATATATATATATATATATATATATATATATATATATATATATATATATATATATACAAATTTCACGTTAAATTGGACATTTTGCAAACCACTTTGGATACATTGGGTTTTAGGCAGAAAATCAGCAATTCGCTTTCAACAAATGTGCAGTAAGGCGACTAGACGATGTTCAGACTATATCGCAGTCATGCTAATGCAACCGATTTATGTAACCAACGGGTGCCACTGCAAACTCTTCTTTTAATCGTGTACCTCGATTGCCTCGAGCAAAGGCGGTGACTGAGTACCCTCCTATCTCCTCATCTGTCTTCTCGTATTTTATGTGCTTCTGCCTTTACCCAAGGACCTGTGTATCTGTGTGACTACTGAAAAGTTCGACTTCCAAATAGCGTTGTCTACCATAATTTAAACAAATGTTACCTAGCATTGGATGGTCGTTGTGAAGCACTCGTTTTGAGAATGGGTTACGATGCTCCATCTTGATGCGGATCGCGATTCCCACTGAATTAAACCTTGGCCAATTCCATCACTTGGATCGTAGATGATGAAGCAGATAGGCGGCGATCCAGGTACCCCCTGTCACTCTATGGGTCTTCGCGTATTTTGTGTACGTCAACCTATTCAGCTGCTCGATTATTGGATCAGTGCAGACTATCATGATTCCATCAAACACAGCATAGCTTTATTAGCCTATTGCTAGACGTCGTTATCAAAGAAAGAGGATTAAAGCGACTGGACGATGTTCAGACCACATTGTGCTCGAGCGCGCATGCAACGGGACTGTGCAAGTATTGGGCTATTGTGCAATCAATCCTCTCGACCATTGGCGTTGCTCACCTCGAGCAAAGCAGGCGACCCATTTGTCTCGTGTTGCTCTATGTGCTTTCGAGTATTTTCTGTCGGTGTGCGGGCGAACTTATGCAGTGCAATTACTAGAACACTGTTGGCTATTATAAATCCATCTAAACCAGTCTAGCTTCATTGGTTTTCACCTGGAGCATGTTATCAATTCAGGGGAGTTTGGGGACTGTAGGATATTTCGGCTACATTGCGCATACGCGAATTCAACGTAACTGCAAAAGCAGTGAGCGATTATGCGAACCCTCCACCTGATTATGGGCGTCAATTGTCTTGCCATTTGGAAGTCGGACTTTTCACAGATCCTTGTGTAAAGTCAGAAGCACATAAAATACGAGGACAGATAAGGAGATAGGGGGGTACTCAGTCATCGCCTTTGATCGAGGCAATCAAGGTACACGATTAAGAGAAGAGTTAGCAGTGGCACCCACTGGTTACACAAATCGGTTGCATTAGCATGACTGCGATGTAGTCTGAATATCGTCTAGTCGCCTTACCGTACATTTTTTGCAAGCGAATTGCTGATTTTCGACCTAAAATCTAATGTACCCAAAGTGGTTTGGAAAAAGTCCGATTTGTTTTGCAAAATGTCCAATTTAAAGTGAAAATGGCAAATAGATGTAGATAATTGCATCAGACTACGAATAGCCAAAGAGCCATCGAAAACCATGGAAATCAAAGGGAAGTACTTTGTCATAAAATGAAAACGGAACACATCACAGAGAAATCCATGGTTTCGTTAGAGGGTGAGATACTACCTGGTTGCCCAAACTGGATTAAGGTGTTGACTTAGAGGATACCACTACAAGCCTTTCGCTAAATAGTCTACCCGAAAGGCAGCTTGGCGAATCCAGGGAATCGCGCCTACTGAGAGCTAGTGACTGCTTGCTCAGCTTATACGCCTTTCGTTTGTTCGGTTGACAAACAAGCGATATGGACTTTATATATATATATATATATATATATATATATATATATATATATATATATATATATATATATAATTATGAGCTCTGACACGGATAACTTCAAGATCGCATCATCCTCTTGGGTCGCGGAAATTTGGCTGTGCATCACTCGCGAGCAACCAGCAAAGGGTTCCCCCATTCATCGTGTCCGACATGGAGAATACAAAATTTCGCAATGGAAGAAGACAGGCTAAACACTATGAATCTCAACTTCAGCAGTGTTTCGAAAAACGCGGGCTTAGAGGTTACAAACGCGACGTCTCCAATTTCGAATAGGTGACAAAGGATAAGCCGCTAGTGAAAACGAGCGGTTAAGCGACGTTGTCTCGAGAGGTGAGTGAGTTTACTGTGGCAGAGGGCTATTAGCACACACAAGTTATTCCATCGAGAATAAAGAAGGAATGCGTATTGTTGCAATGGGGTTGATGCCAGATGGCCACCAAGAACGAATAAAAAACATACCGGTTTTCGGAAACCAAAAAATGCACCGATGAAGCACAACGGTAAGCTGACACCGAACCACAAAGCCAATAACGCAACGATGGTACCAAAGGGCATTGCCGTCGCACTTTGAAGTATCCACAGAGCTAAATTTAAGATGAAGAAGATTACAAAAACTACTGCAGGGCACAGGGTCGAGGTGAGGATGACGTTGGTTTTCCATCGGAGACCGCCCATGAATTTGTAAACCCTCGCAGAAACATAACCTGGACAAGAAAAATGCAATAAGAAGTCCGGTGAGCGCCTAGTAAACCGTGAGGTGAAAAACAATCGTTGTGGGTATATAAAATATTCATCCAAGTAACCTAGGCAACAATAAGAGCTAGTATGGAATCCGTTGAAGAAATTAGGAACGGGTACATTAGACGGCACAAACAGAAGCTGAGACAAGAAGAATGATGCGTATCCGGAGCAATATTATGATAACGCCCCGACAAAGCAAACCGAAGGGCCGTTGAGTGAGCAGTGAGGTGATCGATCGTCTTCATAAACACCACCTTACAAGCAAATCGAATGCGTGACAGCGCTAGGTGAGAGGGAAGTAACGTCCAGTTTGCAAGAAACTCACTGCGGAGCAGAGTGAGAATGAGGGGATCCACTTTATATCTTAGTGATAGAGGAAAGCTCTCCCAACAGCCAACGTATTGGCCATGCTAAAGTCATAGGATAACCGCAGCAAACCATGCGAAGCTGAGGCATGAATCACCTTATGTTGTTGGCCAAATATAAGTGCTTCAAACAGTGCTGGTGCGAATCGCAATAGCGAATAGAATGTGCTGAGAAAGCCACTAGGGGCAGAACTCAACAAACAGCGTGGTCAGCTGAATATAGGACGGCTCATAGACTTGGAAGGGCGCGTGCTCGCTGAATGAACACCTTTTAGTGCATACCCAAGGCATTTTGTCTAACGCGATGCGACGAATTGAGTGATTGTGTTAGAAGCGTGTAGATGAATGGCTAGGGCACGTATACCCATACGAAGTGATCCGTCCAAAAATAATGCAGAATGACGAGATTTCAACTGGTGGTTGCTTACACTGAAAACGAAGCGACGACCACAAAAATTGGGGCTCGCGTGTGACATTATGTGTGTGGTGCGAG